GGACAGTATAGGACAGAGCTGCTGGCTGACAGGGCCGAGCTCCAGAGGGCAGAGGACTGGCATCCTGAGCTGCAGAGTGAAGCCGGGAAGTCATGTTTTCTAGCTCTTCTTCCTATGGCTGGGAAGCCAGCTGTGACCTCTGACCTCCGAGGGGGCCTCCCGGGGCTGTGCATGGGCCAGTCATCCGGAAGTCCCCGCTTTCATTCCTTCCTTTCTGCTTTCTCGCTCCCTCCATCTCCCTTCCTCTCAGCACTCCTGTTCATTCCTGAAACCATTAGATCACAAAACATTTCTTAAAAACTGTGGGCCTGTATAATTTGTGTATGCCCTAAATGTGTTTGGGAGTTTCTAAATAATTGGAAGGTTCAGTTGCTTGAACGGTCAAATGTGAGGACTTTGGGGTACCTGGAGCGATCAGCTCCCCTCTGGACCAATGGGCCCTGTCTAGGGGACATAGAGAGGGATATCTTTAAAACCCTAAACCTGCAAGTGCGGTCCTATATTTTACTCACCAAAGTAGAAAAAGAAAAGAAAAATCTAAGTGCTGATGCAAATTCAAGCAGGCTGGTGTTTTTATATCGTGCTCAAGATATTTTAAAGGTCACATGAAAGCATGTGAAGGTGGCAACGATATCTAATTAGAAACATGGGGTAGATAGCGAGCGAGTGGAGGCTGTCCCGTCTGATCACAGCTGTCACTGTCGCTCCAGAAGCCGCAGTTGGGGAGGAGGGGCGGGCAGGGCAGGAAGCCCCCCTCTTCCTCCTGGCAGAGGACGGTCGGCCCAGAGGCTCCAGGGCTGTCCTCCGGGAGCCCTGCCTCTGAGAAGCAGAAGCAGAAGCAAGGGCAGCAGCTTTTTCCTGCTGCCTCCAGCTCCCTCCCCACGTGGCCCTGCCGCCAGGGCTGCTCCCAATGCGGAAATAACCACAGGCTGAGTCCCGCCTCACACGCTGGTTTATTTTCAGAACCAGAGCTTGTGTTGATAAAAGGTACCAGGTGTTCCTCCCTTTAGTTCTGTTAGAAAATACATTAAACTGAGATTTACTGGAAACACGGAAAGTGGCTTTATGACCAGCCCCTAGGCCTTTGTATAACTCTGGCATCTCCCCTGGCCATTGCGCTTTGCCCAGCAGAGCTCCGGCCTTGGGGCGTGGAGCCAGCCAGAGAGGAACACGTGGGCTACTTGTGCCTGGCGTCCAGGAGGTGGACAAGAAGCAAACATTGGCCTTTGTTAGGATGAGTGGATCAGAAATAGTCCAGCCCGGGTGGCTCAGTGGTTGGGCTTTGGCCCAGGAACCAGGAGGTCAGGGTTCAATTCCTGGTCAGGGCACATGCCCAGGTTGCAGGCTCAATCCCCAGGAGGGGGCATGGAGGAGGCAGCCAATCAATGATGTTTCTCTCTTATGGATGTTTCTAGCTATCCCTCTCTCTTCCTCTCTCTCTCTAAAAATCAATAAAAACATATTTTAAAAAAGGAAGAGAGAAAGAGTGCCTTAAACTGCCTCCTTCTGAACTTTTCTCCCCGACCAACTAGGAATCTTGGTTTTGACCCAAAGATTGCAATAATGACTTATTCCTTAGTGGAGGGGACCCCAGGGCACAGTCCAGTGTTCTGGCACTTCCTCTGTTCACTGGAACTTCCTGTCCATTATTTAGAAAAGCTTCTAACAATGAAACCTCAGTTGGTCAGATTAA